GTAAATGACAAGGAAAAGAGTCATTTATTATAATATAAAACGTTGGATATGGTTCTAATGTATAAAAGGATGAAATAAAACTTATTTGTGAATGTAAATTTGTTTTAATGTCAATCATTACTAATGTGTTTCCAAAGGACTCTTTTAGATATTGCGTGATTAGCTAGAAATGGCACAGCATAATTTGTTTCCAAGCTATCCCTTCTACCATGCTAATTTTCTTGGCTTCGACCTTCGTGTATGGAGATTCCATGCTCTCCCAGTGAGCTTTGTTCTGGTTGGTTTTCCAGCTTTCGCCCACACTCCAATACCTTAATTTAAGACAAAATTGGCCATACATGTGAATGGTTGTGTGTCTAACAGGTTGCGATTGACTGGTGACCACTACAGGTTGTACCTCGTCTCTCGCCCTTGTCAACTGGGCTGGGCTCCATTTTACCAAGTCCCTAATGAGGACAAGTGCTATACAAGATGAATGAATATGCAATGTTTTGCCAACGTTTTCATTTTCAATGTTTGTTATTCATGAACGTATTGAATCTAATAGCCCCTTTAGGGTGTACAAAGTGTCGTTACCAGCTTTTCCAAATATTTTCTTGAGTTTTTTTTTCCTGTCCAAACGAGAGGAACAAAGTCGCTTTGTGACGTCACTGGTTGGCGGGAAACATTTCCTTCCAGGAGCGTCCCTCAGGTAATTAGACCGATTTTCCCATCTTCATGACTTCTTCTCATTTGGTCTACATATGAAATTGCTTGTCAAACCAAACCTCCAAGTAAGGCTGTTGAAGGTGCGGGCGGGTGAAGAAGTAACTGTAAAAGGGCGAGTAAGTGCTCTAGTTAGCATTCGGGAGTTGCTAGCTCCCGGTGCTAGCTTAAATTCTAACGGGAGAGGGTTGCTTTTGAGAAACTATGTGATGTCATTGGAATGTAGTCAACAAATGGAGTGGAGCCTGGACGATAAAATGAATTTATGTGTAGTAGAATTCAACAGTCGAGAATCTATCAGCATTTTAGCATGAGTTGCTCTTTCATTATGGTGATGTCACAACCGCTAATCGTCAGACCCGCCTCGAACAGGCAACATTCTGTCACAAATATGACACTACGATGGCTACATTGAGTTTCTTGGTGTCTTTCAGTCGATAATTTAAATTGTGTTGACTTGTATTATGTGCACTATATCCACTAACAATGGAGGCTAAAAATATTGCAATATTTTCCCCTTCTTACAGTCATACTCCAGAGATTCCTAAATGCGTCATCTTGTGGGACAAAAGAAAGGTAAGAATTCTTATGAAACCTCTTTTTGACTTTTGACACGATGTATTTTCATGATCAGCAGGGTATACTGGGTTGACTGGTATTATGTGCCTAAAAAAAGAAAGCAAAATTTGAAGTGAATGTTGTGCTGTTTCATTTGGTTGAAAAATATCATGAATTGGATTATCCCTAAAGTATGGAGTATTAGAACCACAGTGAAAATAAAAGTAATAATTACACTGTATGATTAAATTCGAAATCTTATGAGGATAAGGTAATACATTTTTAGATCAAATTTGTTTGAAAGAAGTCATGATTGTTTTTTAATTCGTCATATTAAGTTGAATATTTTTTGAAAGGTTATTTTACATTTAAGTCATAGCTTTATTTCAAAGTTTACAAAGTTTAACATTTTCTTGTATGGGGGGGGGGGTCTGGCTTTCATTAAAGGAAGTGCGTTTTGTTGGGTTTGGGTTGTTGCTTTGTTTTGAATTTGGAACAAGACAACCAGTGCCACGGAAGACACTGTGTTCAACTTTGGAGGTTCCACTGTACACTTACTGGCCACAATATTAGGTACCCCTCCACAGTCCAATCAAGCCCATTAGAAGGGCTGCATAATGATGAGTTGACATTGACAATGAATATGTGAAAGATTCCTTCATCAACCATGCTGCGAGAATTTAGTGGTTCGGGAATCAGGAGAAATTATTGGCCCAGTTACACCTAACTGGTAAAATAAATACATCATAAGTACAATTTATATATTTGTTCATCTGTTTCTGCCAGCAACATGTACTGACAAGTTGAACAATTAAATGCTTTTTGCTAGATAACAGAAGGAACAATTAACCTGTTGCCATTTTTATGACAGAATACAGCGTTGCTTCGATCCTTGTCACAAACTGAAAATCTACCAGTAACTGAAACTCCCTTAAAAGGTTTATAATTTCCTCAAGAGACCACAATATAGTGGAATAGCACCACTTGTCTAAATGCACCCCCCCCCCCAGTTTGGGCATTCAGCTCCTTGTTTGAGAACAGCAAGTTATGCAAAATGCATTGAAACATAGAACAATTACATGTACATTTAAAAGTATAGAGAGGGTCAAATTAAATTCACCTGTAAAAATTACAGTTAATCTCAGGTTCATCCTAATGTTTCTCCCAAAATCCGTGTATCCCTAACTTTCTGAAAGTCCCGTATGGGCCTCGCTTCATTAAACGTTGGGGAGCAGGCAGAAAGCACTTCCAAGTCCAAGAAAGAGGAGCAAACATGTTTCTTCCAACTCCCTTTTGTTTCTGCAGAAGATCAGCGCCCTCTAGGTATAGGTTGTGCAATTGCCTTCTCATAACACTATGGTGGACCATTGAACACGTGGTGTTAAGTATGTGTTCGATGTGTTTGCTTAAACGGGCATTCGAGCGAGGGTGTGAGAAAGCTCCCTCTTTGCCGCACAATGGCTGGCTTGCACTCAGGGTGGTGTGCCTGTGTAGGTGGCTGGCAGGGAAGTGGCGCAACATCAAGTGCGTTGCGCATTTGGACACAGGGAACATACTCCTACACACAAATGTCTTCTCTGACAGCTCACCTGTTGGAGCTTGGCAGGTATTATGAGCAGCGAGCGGGGGACAAGCCTGGGAATGCGAAGGGGCTCGCTGGCAGCCCCCGCTATTATGTACTGGAATCTGCCAAGGCTTGCTTTTGGGGTGGGACGCCATGACCTCAGGCAGTGGGATGAGTGGGTGCGACTTCTTGCAAGAGAGGAGGAAAGGAATAGTGGTTAAGAAAGGGAGGACAACCTTATTTAACCTCAAACCACACGTGATCGCAGCCGACGGCTCCATACGGCAATGTGATAGCACAGCTCAGGGAGACACGGGTTAATCATTTGTCTCATTGACTTTATGACTTTAGCAAGTGTCCACTTCGAAGACGCGGGGAGAAATTTCCACTTGACTTTTCTGCTCAGCGGCGGGAGGGAGGGAGGGAGCGAGGGACGAGGTTGGGGGGGCTGTGCGGGGCGAGGAGATGGAGGCTGTTTCTTTAAGAGCGAGGGCGAGTGAGGAGGAGAGAGAGAAAGGGAGGGACCTCTTTGCCCTCCAGAAACCAGGAAGGGAATTGAGTTGATCTGCTGCTGCTTGGTTAGCGCGTACAGGGGCTTGAAGCCTGCACAATAGTGACAGAGGCTGGGAGAAGGGAGAGAGAGCCACAGAGAGCGAGAGCGCTCCGGAGTGGAGGAGAGCGGAGGGCTGCACTAACCCCACAACAAGCAGAACCACGGCCATCGCAGGTGAGCTAAAAGGCAGCCTGCCATCCCCTCGCTGGCTGCCCTGGGCCTGTCAAGCAGGGGGAGGGGGGGTGGGGGAGCAGGGCCAGCGGAGGAGAGTGGGAGGAATGAGGGAGGAGGAGGTAGTGGATGGAGGGGGGGGTTGGCTGGTCTGCGAGGTGGGTCGCCTGTCAAGGTTCCTCTTTTTGACAGTACTTCCCTCTGACTGCTGGAGAATCTTAAAAGTTTATCGTTAGGACTTTTCACGCAGGTGGACATACTTACGGGAGGGGGGGCGGAGAGAGAGCAGGAACTGCCATGAATTAATAGTCAGAGGCAACTTTTGTGACAGTGCGATGCACAGCATGCTCCGTTGTTGTTATTTAGGTCAGCAGGAGTTTGAGGTGTGTGTGAAATGTCATGCCATCGTGAGCGCATGTCAGAATCCGTCACTCGCGTTTGTGAATTTTATTTGAATAATTATTGAATTATCATAATTTTTTTTTTTTTTTTTTGTCATGCCTCATCTGTACTTTAATACCTGGCAGCCCGCTAGCAACACACTCTAGTGTATAATTCAGTCCCGGAGTGCTTACGATAAAACAGACTGGGAGAGAGTGGGGGCGGGCGAGGGCCGAGGGAGCTGGGGCTCGTAGTCCTGTGCCAGGGCTCCAAAACAGGTCAAGTGGGCTGCCAGAACTCCGTATCCCAGAGTGCATTGCCCGTGGCAATCCAGGAAAAAGAGCAACCGCCAACCTATCCCGGCGAGGAGGTGTGGCGTGTGAGCGGCTATCGGGCCAATGAGTGGAGCCAATGCAGATCCCAGTTGTGGACTGAAAATAGAGGGGGGTGGGGTAGTGATGGTTGCTGGAGGGGAAAGGGAGGAGGTGGGGGGGTCTGTTTGTGTGGGATCAGGCAAGGGCTTGCCTATATGACGAGGGCCACTTGCAAGTTTCCTGTCTGGTAAAGCTCGAGCCCTGCCCAGAGACGCAGGCAGCTGAGCTGGCCCACAGGCAGACAGGGGAGCCAGAGCTGGGGAAACTTACCTCTATTTGGTAAGCACACCGAAAACACACACACACACACACAGACACACATTGTCTTGAGAAGTGAGTCAGGCAGGAGGGATGGAACCCACATCATGTTGCCAGTGAAGGAGTTCAGAGTTCTTGACCCACTTCCACATGAAATAGAGGAAGACAAATGGGTCAATGTGCTGCACTGCTCGGCTGCTTTTCTTCTCATGCAGCTTGTATTTCTTTGAAGACACGTTCTTATGGTGTTCTCGAATAGTAGTCGTGGGGAACAGTCAAGGAAGTTGCAAATGATGCATCTGTTACTTGTAATTAGTTCCTGGATTTGTTTGAGACTCCCCAAACCATCTAAACAAAGCTCGTTAATTGTTGAAATTTTCGTTTTTTGTGGGGGGGGGGGGGGGGAGAGGGGCTTCACTCTTACATTATAGCATCTTGCTCCAAGTTCACCTGCCTCACTTGGGATTTGAAACACCATGCCTCACATGTGAATGAGGCGCACATTTGTTTGGCTGGATGTACTCGTTGGACCCGTTTTTTTTTTTTTTTTTTTTTGAATGTGGACACAAAGAGGGTACTTGAAGACGCCCAACTGTTTGGAAGCAGTGTGGTATGCTTCTCAGAAGGAAGCGGCAAGGACATTTATTTTTTTTTCCTTTATCACCCAGTGCTCAATGTCAGGGCATACAATAGATACCGCCGTGATGATTGTCCTGATTCTACTCTTTTATGCTACTTCTCAAGGTGCCGCTTTGGACCACACGGGCATAGTTGGCTCAAGCAAATCCCACCAAGAGGTTAAACTAGGACGCCATATGTGTTGGTGTGCATAAGTGTGCATGCATGCATGTGTGCCTGTGTTACCAACAATAGATTCCAAGGGAATTGCAGGGGACTTCAGTGGCTGTGGGCTGGTCCAAGACACCACCCATCAATTTGGCGGTGAGGCTGAATACAGTTTGATATTCCTGTATGTTTGTGCCGCTACCACTATAGCCCGAAACGAGCAGCTTCCGACTGACTGAGGAGACAGGTTTTCCTGATGCCGCCGTGGCAGTTTGAAAGCTTGACTTTTTTTTCCCCTTTTTGCATAGTACCCTATGTATTTTTTTAATGTAAAATGTGAATGCTGTAGGATGGATTTCCACTGATTTTTTTCTTTCTTCTCCAAACTTAATGCCAAGCCCCTTTTCCTATTCCTTTTGCCACATGTAAATTAATGAAGTTAGACAGCGGTCAGCGCAGTGCATTGCAGAATGCTCCAATTTAGACTTTTTCCAACAAGGATGAATGGAAAAAGAAATAATCCATTGTGGCCATTATCAATCATTTTATTTGCTGTACAGGCATTGTTTAAAGTAACAGTAACAGCCGTAAAAGATTAATAGAAGGTGACACTTCAGAGCAAGAGCAAAAGATACGGCTGCCTTTACCTTTCACGCGGAACCCAACATAGGCGGGATCTTAGCTCAACTATGGAAGGCAATCCGCAATTGGATAATTAGATGCGCGACGTCAGCATCTGATGTGACAATTACTTTCAACACAACAGGGTAGGAGAAGTGAGTATCGAGTGGCAAACCTTTAGCGTTACACCAGGTTACGGCAGACATTGGGCTTCCGATGGCGGCGACATAACCCAAATTGCTTCCCTCAGTCGGAATGAGCTGTAATGTATCACGAACCTACACAATCGGTCATAATTACAGTAAATATTTGTCTGACAAAAACTTGAGCTGTAAAACACTCAATTGAAAAACAGTCAGTCTGACGTGCCTTCCTGTATCGCGTGACCACATATTCTTTTGAGGCGCACTGTTCGTAACCTCAAAAATTGTATGCTGGGACTGTCAAACCAAGGACCCACTGTTATAGTTACAATATGCAATTTTAAAAGGCATAAAATTACTAGGTCGTCTTGGTCTCCCCCATTCTCTGTCTGCATTTTATATAAAATAACGGCCTGAAAAAAGGCGGTTCGGTAGTGTGAAACGGGCAACCTGTAAAAAAGCTTGTTAACCTTGAGAGTGTAATAAATGGCATGTCACAGTTGCAGATCTTTTATTCGTTTCCATTGACCTCAACTCGCACAAGTGTGAACAAAAAACATCCACTGTGTAACCGTAAGGAACCCTTTGATCGCAGTTCGGCAGCGAGAATTGGCAGCCACGTGCAACCTTGAAGACATTTTAGTTTAACCGTTGAAATTTTCGTCGAATTTCAAATAATGCAGCCTAATTTTTCCATTTTGAGGCAACTCTGCAAATGCACATGATGTATTGTGTGCGTGTGTGTGTGTCTTTGTTTTTTTTTTTAAGCTTCATACCAAGCTGAGTCATTTCTTTCCTGCTGCGTGTAAATTCATGCTAAGTCATAATCGAATAGCTTTAGCAGCCCCTTCCCTCTCTGCAGTCTCACGTCTTCCCTTGTGTTTGGTTCGCCCTCCCTGGTCAGCTGCTCGGTATAGCACGTCTTCTAGCCACACAGACCCCTCTCTGTTGTTTTCCTGTTGTTGTGTTCGTGTCTAGGGGCAGTAAAGGGGCTTCTTCTGTTCTCTTCTGGGACATTTATTATGAAGAGGGCAATGCAACCTGATCAAATTAGGGTGAGCGAGAGAAGCTTGGGATGTTTTTCAGGCCGGGGGTGAAAAAGTCTTCTTAGTTTTTTTTTTAATGTTCATTGCGTGATGCAAAAACATGCATTCATTAAAGGCTCTCGTCACATACCCACTGCCTATTTGGATACAGTATTGCTAAAATAACTGGCTCAGAGACCACAGCCGCCTTTTAATTAAGCAGAGCGGCGTCGGCGGAGTGGTCAAGACGGCGACATGTGACCAATGTGACACTGTTGATGTTGATTTAGGAGAGGAGATGGGTGGGTTGCGTTCGAGGTTGGCACGTCACAAGAGGACGGGCGGGGCTCTCAGCCGCTGCGTGTCCTCAGCGGAAGAGCAGGAGGAGAGAGGGAAGTGAGGTGATGCGTTGCCGCTCAGATGGAGCAACCGTACAGCCAAAGAGGGAGGCTCAGACAGTGGGGACAGAGGGATTGAGCAAGCAGAGAGCTGGTCATCTGATTACACAGCGGCTTCTATTACATGTCTGTTATAGGCTCGCAGGAAAAAGTTCTTCCCGCTCGGTCTGCGTGCGGCCTTGCTGGCCCGCCAATGTTCTGCTGGGCACTTGCGTCCCTTTTGAAGTCATGAGTTAAGATTTGGTCACACTGCCCAGCTTGTAGCACGGTTGGCGTGAAGGAAGCGAGTGTCGTCTCCATACCCAGCCAACGTAGAAAGCATTCTACGCTTCTATGACGAAGTTGTCATTTTTAATACGCCATATTCAATGTAACGGTATCATGGAACCTCTTAAGTTGAACACAATCCGTTCATTGATGCCGGTTGACTTTCAAGTTTTAATTTCAAAATGGAAGAGCCAAAATCTGGTGCTTGAAGCAACCAACTCTGATGGTCAGGAGGGATGAGACAGAATATTTTCCCATATGGTATGAATTAATTGTCTGATTCAAACTGTCGTTTCACCTTTTTGGAAAAAAAATAGGTATGTTCTAAAAAAACATCTAAATTTCCATGCAAGTGTAAAATGAAGTTCTAAACTCCCCTAGAGTCAAGACAATAGATTACACAAGTCTTACCTTTAAGATCAATGTTAATGCAGTTCACATCACAAATCTCTTTTTTAATTAAATATTCTTAATTGTCATGCTAGTGGAAATAGAAGTTAGCGATGTAACCTTTATAACACCATTAAAACAGTTAAAAACTTGAGGGTTGGCCTTTATGACAAAACTAGTCTGAACATGAGCTGTTTTGCAAATGGGCCTCTTGGAGATTAAAGAAAAAATTGTTCTCGTCACAAACGTAAACTAAAGGAGTTAACCATTTAATATCGTGGATACTTTCACTTTAGAGTCTTAGTGCTCTGAATGCTTACTTCATTTCTTTGTAAAGTCTCCACACCCTCTTCAGAGGCGTGGAGACTTTGAAGTTAATCACTGTGTAATAAAACCCCACATTAAAGTCAAACTGACTGACAGTCGCGTAATGGGCAAGGAAAAGGAAGGTGTTTGCAGAGAAATGCTGTCACCTAATGACGATTTATAGATACGACTGGAATTCATTGATACTGACTTGTCTTGCCTATACTGGCCCAAGCAGTCAAATCGTTTCTTATTTCTGATGAGCCATTTCTGGTTTGAGGGTTATCGAACGTCTTTATCGCTGCTACCATTTTGTGGTGGCATCACAAAAAAAAAAAAAAAGTGGAGTCAGTCTTTGAGATGCTCATCATGAGTCTTGCGTGACATAATCTATGATGACGGTTTGAAGTCCAAGTTTCGTTTCACTTTTGAGGCGTGTTTCACCAGTGCTTACATAGTCTTAACACTATGCTGGGTTTGCATAAGGGCAAAATAGCTTAATAACCCCCCCCCCCCACCCCCCGTGCCTGCTTACTCAAATGAATCTTTGCCCCACCTGTGGGCGTTGAGCTTTCCTCTAATTGAAGCAGGTTTTACCAGCCGAACGAACAAGATCCAAGTTTATCATTGACATCTGAGCCGGATTCCAAGGCCTCCGTACTCTTTGCAGTTATGAGTGGTTGTGAGTTTAATAAGCGGGCCTCACCCACCACCACTTCACTCGCATTGTGTGTTCATCAGCACTTCCTGCTTGGGCTTGCGAGCGAACGCCTCAAGACTCAGAGCGACTTTCGCAACGTCAGTTTTATCAGGCGGCCACCCTTTTCCTGCTCGTCTCCCAGTAAGACCAATCATAATTCCTTCCACGAGTCTCCTGCCATCCGCCAGTCACTTGGTTGCTGTGACACTTTTTCAAAACTCTGCTTTTCTTGAAACTGCCGCCTCCTCTCCTCACAGTATTTTGTGCTATTCCCTTGTTGCGTCGAACCAGGTGATTCCCTTGCGCTGGCTGTTACCGCTAAGTGTTTCGCTATCAGTTCAATTGGGGCAGAAAGGAGGCGTTTGACTTGACGTCTATTACCCAGTGTTTGTACTTGATGCCTGTTAAGACCCCGGTCGACAATGCACGAGAGAATGAACATTGATCTATTACAGTAATTTACTGGGAAGAAAACTCACTTTGGTGCCCAATTATTCACTTATGTTTGCGCTCTGAAGCCTCACGTGTCCCCCAAATCTCAGAGCTGTAACAGCAGATGTGACATTTTATCAGCCTGTGCCTTTCACGCAGAACCAATATATTTATACGGTACGTCAGCACTAACATCCGGTGTGATAAAAGTAGAAAATGGTGTCAATTGTGTCTTTTACAGAGCTCTGGCAAAATTGCTTTTTGAAAGAGCAATCGTGCGCACAGACACAGCATCATGCAATCAGGTAATCGGATGACATCACCACGGGAGCGTCAGGTGTTGGACTTCACACAGTTTACACTAGTGTTGTCACAATACCGAACGTTTTGACTTTGATAGCTTTTAACATGAATAAATGACCTCAATTCTGTACTGAAATAAAAAATTTGCACATCAGTAAAAACAATGCAATAATAGCTTATTTGTATTTATTAATTCAAACAATTATTATAAAGATGCTAATTAGAGTACTTTTGATCAAATAAAAAATACATTTTGAACATGAGAACAATTTAAGATAATTTGATAACATTTTAAACGCAACTAATAGTTTTGGATAAGTCTTAGGGGACCCGAAAAGTGTTGTTTTATTTCCTATCCTCACCGATGTTGTGGCCAAAAGAGACGAGATCCCGGATACAAGCGGGTGAAATTAGTTTCCTCTCCAGGGTGTCCGGGCTCTCCCTTAGAGATAAGGTGTGAAGCTCGGTCATCCGGGAGAGTTGATCTGCTAATCCTTCACGTTGAGAGCAGCCAAATGAGGTGGCTCGGGCATCTGATTAGGATGCCTCCCGGACTCCTCTCTGGTCAGGTGTTCCGGGTATTTCCCACCCACAAACGGCCCCGGGGATGAGCCAGGACTCGGCGAAGGGACTAGGTCTCCCAGGCTGGCCTGGGAACATCTTGGGATCCCATTGGACGAAGTGGCTGGAGAGAAGAAAGTCTCTGCCTCTCTGTTGAAGCTGCTGCCCCCGTGACCCAGCCCCTCGGATAATGCTAGATAATGGACGGATGGATGAATTCACAGTTTGATACTGCTACCGGGACTTGGTGCAACACTAGTTTACACACAGGCATTGTCCCACTTGTCACAGCTCTGATATTACCTTCGAAGGAAGACATTTCCCAAGCTGATTTCTTCTCCTCCATTCCACGCCAGTGCAGTTACGACACATCAGCAATCGGAGTAAATAATATGAAAAATTCAGTTTTTATATTGGTCGTATGAAAGGGCCTGCAGTTATTCAAAAATGTGATTATTTATAGCGCCTTTCACAAAACCCAGGCCACTTTACACAGCAAACAGACACAACAGAAGAGAGAACACTAATCATCAAAAAGCTGTGTGAAAAAAATTAGTTTCACAGTGATTCTTAGAAAAATCACAAAAGCACATTTCATCGTTGTTTTGAATGATATGGTGCCTCATGTCCACTGAAACCTTGGGAACATTTTTTTTTCCCCAAAATGTACTGGCTGTCTATTTCAAACACATCGAAAGATTCTCAGGCTAAACATTTTGCCTCTTTGTTTGTAGGGATGAATGGTATTTGTTGGACAAAGACAGACTCTTTAATTCACAGGGTTGGATATCTGTGTTTCATATCAGGTCAAATACGCAGAAATATATCGCCATGTGACTGATGCCTGTTGGATACTAAACACACAAGTAACTGTCGCTAATGAGACTATTGTCGTTTCATGCCCGAAGTGTGACCAGGTACTGCAGAGCTACGGCATGTGCAAAGAGATTCTGTGACATGACAGGGATGAAACAAAGGGGTTGGAACTCAGCTTGTTTCAAGTGGCGGTTTGACTCGCAAAGCAGGGCACAAGTTCTCACGGGCTGAACGAAAGAATGCGTCCTTCCCTGGAAGCAGAGCTGCAAGGATACGGACGGACGCCATCCCGCTTTGGCCTCCGTGACCTGAAAACATGAATTAGTGATAGGCAATGTTCAACCCACAAGGAGGTGCTGGGATCAGGTTGGTTGCGGTGTGTTTCTTAGTCCACCTTAGGTCATGTGGGGACAGGTGGCTGCGGCATGCAGAGGAATCCCTCTCTGCTTCTTTGCCTCTTACTTCAAGTGTGTGCGTGCATGCGTGCGCGCGTGTTTTAGCTATTCTCAGCTCAGCGTCTTTACCCCCGCAAAGCCGCAACTCGGGGTCAGCTCCTGGATGTGCCGAGGATAACGTGTACACAAGCTTGCAGCCATAGCCCGGTCGAGTGCAGGTGCTTGAAGTCAGGCCTGGGTGGGCTCACGGAGATCACTTTCCACCTTCAGAGGACGTGACCGCAGGCCATGTGGTCTCTCTCTCTCTCTCTCTCTCTCTCTCGCTCTCTCTCTCTCTCTCTCTCTCTCTCTCTCTCTCTCTCTCTCTCTCTCTCGTTCAGCCTTGCACCCTGAGCCATCATCTCCCTCTTTTTTAGTTTTTGTCCTCTGTTTCCTCATGGTCGTCCTCTGCATATTCAGATGAGGCCTCCTGTAATACAATTTGCTCTTTTCCTGTCAGACAGTCTGTTTTTATTTATTTATTTTGAAGTCACAGTGTTGTGAGACTCCCATGGGGGGGGAGTGCTGGTTATCGTGGTATTTCCACACGCATCATAGGACCTGTTTTTTAACTGAGCACACCATCACCGTCACTACGCATGATGTCCTGCAAGACCCCTGGGTACCTCACGAGGGCTCAGTTCAGCTGGTAGCAAAGGATTAACTCGTGTTTTGCTTTGGCTTTTTGTGGCCTTTTTGCCATAGTTGAAGAATTACACCACAAATTGGGTGTAGCGGGAAAACCTCAGCATGACCATATGCGTTGTCGCTTGTCATCATAGTCAAAAGTAAAAAGAACAAACCTGGACGGCGTAGTACATGGGGATGAGTGGCTAGCATGGAATGTATACCTCATAGTTCTGAGGTTGGGGGTTTGAATCTGAGCTCAGGCCTTTCTTGTGCAGAATTTGTCTGGTCTCCCTTTGCTAGTGTGGGTTTTCTGCGGGAACTCTGACTTCCCACAATCCAAAAATATCCTTGTTTGGTTCACTGAAGATTCTAAATTGTCTTTAGTGCAATTGTGAGTGTGAATAGTTGTTGTCTATCCTGTATGTTGCCCGGCGATTGACAGGCAACCAGTATAGGGTGTTAAACCGCCTCTTTGCAAAAAATCAACTGGGATTGAGTTTGCCCTGACACCTTGCGCTGTATTTTCATTTTAATACTTCATTGCATTGCTTTTGTAATGAGCATGCCACTGTTTTAAGTCTCAGGACATGCTCTTTGCTCCTGACCCCTGACTCTAACTGAGCATAAAAGGCTGATTTTGAAGGTGTGGAGATCGATCGGTGTCGTTGGGAGAAGAGTGCAAAGATAGGAGGGGTGCGTGAGAGGTAAGTGCAGGTGAACAGGTGTGAGGGAGGAGAGGCAGCCAGGTTAGGCAGGTTTGGTGGTGGTGGGGGTGGGGGTGCTGCAGCATGCAAGGGTACATAGAAGCTAATCTGCTGTACAGTCATTAGAACGCTTGCTCATATAGAGAGTCTAACCACCCCCCCCGTCTCACCCCCTGCTGCCTCTCCCTGGCAGATGGAGAGAGGAGGGTGGGCGGTGGATGTACGATACGCGTTTGTGCCAGTGTGTGTACGTGCATGTGTGCATTATTGATGTCTCTGTGATGGCACAACATTTGTGTGTGCGCATGTGAGCGCGTTGATACAGGAATCGAGGGTGGCTTGTTCTGCCGAAACCCCCCTCCCACTGCCCAGGCTTCAGTCGATCATTTTAATCTCCCCCCCCACACGTGAGCAAGGGGACAGCCTTTCCTGAAACTTGGCACACAGTGCAGGGTGGGGTAACCAGCTCAGACCGGATTGACAACCTCCCTTTTAATACTGTGGCCTCGCAGCTTGTTGCGTGTCCTCTTCCTCTTCCTCGTGGAGTTTTTCCACAGGGTCCGCCGTGGCAGCCCCTCCGCCCCTCTCACTACTTCTCTCTACCTTTTATTGGTGTGTTGTTTTTTTTCCACCCCAACTTCCTTCACCTCCCTCATTCTCTTTCGTGGCTCCAGGCAGACAGCCCAGCTCCCAGCATGCATTTGGATCCCCCGCTAACGTCTGCCTATCCGTCCTTCACGACCTCCTGCACGAGCGTGCACGCACACATGCACACATGGGTATAGATGTTTACAAGGAGACACTTTCATCGCCACCTGCATGCATACAGGAAGTACAGTCTGCAATATAAGTTCGATTAAAGCCCAATTCTTCACTGAATGTGATCAAATGTACTCATGTAATAACCATTCTCATAGGCCGAAATATTTGCCTTTTCTACTATATCCTATAATTGTAGAAAAGTTATATTATGCCATTAGCATGTGATCAAGCATGATGGTGGTTGGAGCTCCTGGATTTCGTTTGACTTTTGAGGCTCAAATTGGTGATTGAAATGGACTTTAGTGGGTTTTGGCTTACGAGTGACACAACAGCAAGTGTTTTCCACTCAGAATTTGTGTATTTTGTTGTCACATAGTTGCATTTTGTTGTCACATAGTTTTGCTGTTGGTTTTGAAGTAAATGCGTAAATGGGATGGAGGGAGGGGCCTTTTGTACTGTATGACAAGGTTATGATGCCACAAGTAGTCTTTGATCAACTTTTTTTTGGGGGGGAGGGAGGGTTAAGATTTATCAAAACACACTTTGATATTGCTCCATTCGTTCAACCAGAAATACACATCAAGACATGCTTCTGTTGACGGTGCCTTTCATATATGACAGAAGTGGACAGGGCTTCGAGGTTAGTTCTGACTGATGCCATAGCTTTCTGGCTTTATTTGGCGGTTTATTTGGTTAGTTGGTAATACAAGGCAGCTGCCAAATCATCAGCTTTGATGCCATAAATGTACGACGAGTGAAGCCAATTCTTCTAATTTGTTTTATTTGCGTGATACTAAGAATGTTAACGGGCATGTTTGTTTTGATCCCTTTTGTTTTGAAGTTTCTTGTATCGATATTAATGTGCCTGTTTTCTGTCTTTCTCCCCCCTCAGACAGGAAGACAGACGGACGGCAGGACGGATACACGGGTGGGGGCTGTGCTAGGCGGCTCGGCGGCAGGCTGGTGGAAGATGTCGTCCGGAGCCGGCGGGAGGGGAGGAAGGCGGCTCAGGGGGACGGTGGGCGGCGGAGGTCGAGGAGTTGCCGGAGAGGCCGAAGAAGGCCCCGTGGGGATCCCCTTCCCCGAGCACAGCGCCGACATCCTGGGTAGCCTCAACAAGCAGCGGCAGAGCGGACTGCTCTGCGACGTTCTGCTGATCACCCAGGATCGGGAGTTTCCAGCGCACCGCTCCGTCCTGGCGTCCTGCAGCTCCTACTTCCACAAGCTGTTCACGTCGGGAGCGGCTGCCGACCAACGCAACGTCTACAACATCGATTTTGTGGCGGCGGAGCCGCTCGGAGCACTGCTGGACTTTGCCTACACGGCCACACTGACCGTCAGCCACAGCAGCGTGGCTGACATTCTCGCAGCCGCACGCCTCCTGGAAATCCCACCCGTTCAGGACGTCTGTACACACTTACTGGACACCAAAGTGCTCTCCCCGCCGGTACGTTGTCATTCTACCTCTACACGTTTACATTACAGAATAACTTCTTCTTCTTCTTCTTCTCCTTTCGGCACATCCCTATTCAGGGGTCGCCACAGCGAGTCAGTAATTTCCATCCGCCCCTGTAAACCGTCCTACCAACTCGCATGGTCGTCTTGGCAAAAGTTTTACGCCGGATGCCATTCCTGACGCAACCCTCCCCATTTCTCCGGGCTTGGGACCGGCACTGGGGAACAGTGCACCCCCAGGGGAGGGCACTGCCCCCCAGCGGCTGGGTTACATTACAGAATAACATTAGACTCAAAAGATATTATTTGTACTTTCGTTAGGGAACGCTTCAAAGACTATAGTATCACTTAATATGAGTGTTCAGTTTGGTAAGACTTGGCGACTGAAAGCCTCGTCTAAAATGAATTTAATTTTTAAATATAAAATTGGAATATTTTGGACTTAACTTGGCAAGTTTCCGTCTTTGGAGGCAGTGTTCTCCATGAGTCCAAGACTCCCTCCGTCCTGCGTTAAAAGCAATTATCGATTTCAATTTCTGTTCACTACAGATGAAAAATCTTGTCTTCCAAATCCGATACACCAACAAAAGACCTTATTCCTCTTTTCTTGTCTACAGGTTCCAAGCAATTGTATGTTGTGTATTAACCACAAATATATTCAACTACCTATCATTTAATTTTAATCCAAGATCAACCACCCATGCTGGTGTTCTCGTGGATCATCAGAAAATATTGAATCCTTGGATGAAAAAAACAAGACCTTAACTGGCATATTACAATGTTTTAATTGGGAATGTATGATTAAATGTGTATCCAACGATCAACGAGAACTGCCTGCTTCTCCAAACTGTTCCGAAACATTTTTTTTGGGGGGGGGGTACACTATACAGTGTATAGCATACACTGTAGGCCTGGGGGTTATATCGATATCAAAATACAAACATTCATGATACTAATCTCGAAAATTAAGACAAGACATTTCACACTCTAATGCAGTGTATGTAAACCAAATAAAAATGTGTTTATTTTTGTTTTCATCGGGACTAAATGTGTTTATTTTTGTTTTCATCGGGACTTCATCTAATGTATCTCACATTACTAGAGCTGTAATCACCGTAACAGTTCTGAATCTTCAAATCTAAACTTTTATTTCAGTTTCCCCCCCCCCATCTCTTTCAAAAATCAGAATGTCCGTCATTGCGTTAAAAGAAAAGCGTTTTAGTCTGATCAAAGTCTCTTTTTAAATAAGTCCAGTACATCACTCACCAAAATACGGGGGGGGAGGAATCATGGCTCACTCAGCACAGCCTGAATTGTATGCTAACAGCCCAGGCTGGTGAGTCCGCAATCATTCAGGTTGACTGGACTAATGTCAGACGTCTTTATGTGTGGCTCTGGTAAAATTGATGTCTCGCGCTTTCAGACAACGAACATCTGTAGCGTGACAGATCTGGTAGAGATCTGGTAAACCTGTCTGGAAAGTAGTTGAATTGGAATAAAATAAAAGTTAATAAATAAATATATCACGCGGCATATTTTTTGTGTTACGTCATGCCGCAGAAGCTTGGCGCAAGACGCTATTAAAGTGACCATAGCCAGACCAGTGTTTGTGTATCCTGAGATGTCTATCAATCCTGTTTTATTGATATTGGACTGATGAATATGACATTTTTTTCCCCCCAATATTGGTCCAATATTTATCTGACAGTTATCATGCCTCCCTAGTCCTAATCTTTCAAAAACAGAGAAATATTATGTATAATATATATATCGATCATAAGTGGGATTTTAAATTTCAAATCTCAAAATAAATTCACATTCTAGAGAAAATCATTTCCTGAATGGCTCTCGTGTTCATGCAATCACGTTAGCGAAACCAGCAAAACAGTGATGCGGTTTTAGTCGAGCTTAAGAGCAAGTTGCACGCCATTTATGTACTGTAGTAACTTAGGACAACATGGGACATTGGGAAGTTGGTCTTAAATTCAAATACAAATGGAATTAAAAAATCTTCTATTTTATGTGCATTATGCTGTACAAACACTGCGCGCTATTGCCATGAGCAGTTTTTGAGCTGTATTGGTGAAACATCTTCTGTTTTTTTGTTTTTTTTAACTTGGCAGGGGTAAAATTGAAATCGGTAATCAATTTCAAAGAGGAGTGATAATTTAAAATGCTACTGACAAAAAATATAGGTTGTGTATGGGTGTTTTCAAAAAAAATAATCGTTAACCATGAAGGTGTGTGTTCCTCATGTCTCGCCCCTTCATTAAGTTGTGTAGTCAGCCCCCGTCAAGCTAACATCAAGGCAGTTATCTGCGGCGCTTTCCATGCCAAACGCACACCCACGGCCTTGGGCCTAGTTCAACGCTTACTCATGCTGAGCCAATTGCTTGCTTGTGCGTAGGAACAGCACACTGTTTTTTTTGTATTTTTCAGGCATCATATCACAGCTACACGTCCACATAATCGAGTGTTGCGACATGCAGTTGGCTCCTGTCTTTCGAGGTTACCCCCTAACAATCTCAACAGCGCTTCACTCACAATCATGTAGGCCAAGACCTTCGTGAATTAACTGAGGTCAAGACAGTTTACGACTCTTGCAACGCATAAAAAATAAAACTTCAATACGGACACTTTTGCGAAGATGTTATTAGTGAAAATAGTGGGGGTGGGGGGTAGATGTGATGCATTGTATAGTATTTCAATACATGCATGTATTGCTTTCCAAGGAGTACTGACAGCGTTTTCACAGTGTATTGTGACATGTTTTTGTTTTTGTTGATCATTATTTGTGGAATATGTACGTTTTAAGCTATTAACACACCCAACAATGACTCATCCCCCTGCTCATAGCGGGGGATGACTGTAGACCTTTTGTTTACTGGTCACGTAATTGTCAAACATGCATAGATCTTAAATCTTATCTCCCACCTGATGCTTTTCCAGGCGGGCAGTGAGCAGCGAAACGAAGATGAGGAGAGAAGCAGAGGAGGGAGCGAGCAGGGCAACCAGGTGCTGGCCCGGGAGTTTTTGGAGTTTTTCCAGCGAGGGGCGCACTGGGCCAGCAGCTGCAGCACGCCAGAGCTCAGGGACCTGCCGACGCACCTGCACTTTAACCACGGCAACGGAGGGACCCCCAGCAACGGCGCGCCCGGTGGCCCCGGTGAGTACTACTCCCCCCTGGCCCTGGCTTTGGCCCAGGCCCCCATCCATGAGCCAGAAGAGGACGAAGATGAGGAAGAGGATGACGAGGATGGGGAAGCGGTGCAGGGAAACGGAATAAGCCTCGGGTCATTTTACTGCCCTCCCTCCCAGAACGGGCACTTCTACCTCCCCCCCGAGGCTCGGACAGGGCACGACACGCCGGAGACGGAGGACGCCGCCCTGCAGATGATGGCTCGGGAAAGGGGCTCGGCTAGTGCCCTCTTGCAGCAGATGATGGACTCCATTGAGAGGCAGAAGCAGCGCGGGGCGGCCGGGGAGGATCCGGGCGACGGCGATGACCCGGACATGGAATTTTACTACAATTACTTTAACAGCACTCAGCTTGAGGACACGCCTTCTGCCGCCGTGACGGCGGGCGTTCCGCCGCTGTGGTTGTCACGGAGCAACGCCGGCCACGACAGAGTGGGCGGAGGGGAGAGGGGGGTCGGCGAGAGGGGCGGCGGCGGAGGCGGCGGGGAGAGGAAGATGCGCTCAAAGGCCTTTCAGAAGTGCCCCATATGCTCCAAGGTCATTCAAGGAGCGGGCAAGCTACCCCGCCACATTCGAACACACACGGGGGAGAAACCCTATGAGTGCGCCATCTGCAAAGTGCGCTTTACCAGGTAAGCCCAATTAATGAAGCCACTGCACCATGTCACGTGTTCGAACACTTTTGGACTTGGCAAAGGGCCTCCTCGAGTGGGATGCCTCTGCAGAGTCAAGAGTAGGAGATTTAGGCTTTGCATTAAGGGGCCAACGCGGCGTTTATTTTTGTATTCCTTAGCATCCAGACATATTCCAGCTCCAACATGGTGATAAAAGTGGCTTTTATTGTGATGTTCTCTGAAGCAAAGTCCTGGACTTGTAGCGCCAGGGGTCCTATAAAAGAAGGCTGTGGCTGGCCGGCGTTATCTGGTTGGAGGGCCGCTATAAAGTTCTGATACAGACGGGGGGTTACAGGCCCTAGATTGTGCTCTGTGTGCTTCAATGCAGCCATTTGAACTTTTGATCTCTGCCTGCGTTGATTATTGCCCACAGCAGAGTAGTTTATACACCCCCACTCTCCTCTTGCTCTGTCCCTCCTTTACTTGGCGGATGAAATTGGACTTGTGCCGCGCTCAGATAAATGTGAGCAGAGTTTAGCAAGACACTTTGACTGATTCCCCTGTATTAAGGAGGCCCGTCTTTTCCTTGAAATCCCTCCTGTGATTAATCAATGAGAGCACTCGTGCTTGGAATAGATGCAGTGGGCCTCAAATGCCCACAACTTTTGCTGGCACGAGAGGTAGGGGAGACTAATGTGAACTGAATTGGCCTCCTGGTTAAATTTGACCAGCAGTGGGAAGTGGGTTATTTGTAATCTTAATCCTGTTTGATCAGGGTTAGGAGTGCCTCACACCCGCTAATAAATCACTCTTGTCCTTAAAATAATTCAGCTCTGTCAGTGCTGGTATTTACATGCGTTCGCGCACCCGGCTATCTTATATTTACAGTAAGGTTTGCACAAATGGTTGTCTCCTTGTTTAGTATGAGTGCTAATCCATTTAAATTCCTTATGTTGTCAAATGGGGGAGGGAGGGACAAGAGCCAGATGAAGGTGTCCTGATAGTTTAGTTGAAGCTGGCATGTGACCGCCGAGGCTGGCACAGGAGGTAGTATAGGAGCTGAGCCCGTGTGTAAGGGCATTGTACAATGACGAGCGATAGGTGTGGATTCAAAACGCTCGACACCCTCTTTCCTCTCCATGTTGTGTTGTACGCAATTGTCGCGTTCCTATAACCGTTTCAGACGTCCACCCAGATGCCGGCAAAAATGTTGTCTGGTTGAGGAATGCTGCGTTCAAAGTACACAGAGTTAGTGAAGTTCAACAATTTTGAGGTTCCAAATAGCCTGCAATGAATTAGCGAGTTGCGCTTTAGCATAATCATACGACACAGGAAGACACACTCAAGTTACCCCAGAAACTCCTTCATTTGATGGTTTTACATTTTTTTGCGTGGAAGTGTTTTTCCATAGTAATATTTGCCGTCATGACTTTATTACTGCGCTGGCATATTATATTGTACTCCGCTTTGCTGCGTTCTGTATAAAAGGCAAAGGCAGATAAATGATGCATCCCCTGTTATTGGTATGATGTGCCAATTTTCTCTGTGTGCTTTTTTGTTTTTAGTTGCTACTACAAATAGTGGTTAACCTCATTTCCCGAAGGCGCTTGAGAATGTTAGCTTGAACTGGAGTTTAACCTTGAAAATCTTATTCCCACTCAATTGACTGTCGGTTGCCTTCCTCCCATAAAAAAAAAAAAAAAAAAAAAAAAAAAAAAAAAACACCAACAAGAGGGTG